CATACAATAATAAAAAAAATAATATATAAGCTATATAAAGTATAAAATTTTGCCTAAAGACTAAAGTTCCTAATTTTTAGAAATCGACGAAAGATGATTAAATTTGGAAGGTGATAAATGATCGTGTGTGCTTCCGAGGTTGCGGAAAGGTTGAATGAAGTAATCATAATTGAAAAGGAATGACAAATCTCGTCTGGGTACGGTAATAACTGGAGCAAAGGCCGTTGTGTAAGAAGGTGGGTGGCCGCCTTTCTCCGTCGGCTCGGATACGCCGCGCCGGTACGTACGCGTATGCGAGAACAGCCGATTTCAGCTGGCAGAAATCGGATTCTTTTTACGCGTCGACATTAGCCGGGGGATCGGCTTTTGTGTAATAATTAGAACGGCTACGCGGCGCGCGCATAGTATTTTAATTACCGCGGGTACCGCGCCGCCGGTGTCTTAATTGGACTTGATCGCGGTGTCGACAGATCGCCGAGGAAAGTTGATAACCCGAAGCGCGAGACAAGACCTGGGGAACGATACGAGTTTGTGAAATCACGACCTATTATCTCGTTTGCAAGTCCGACTGTTCGTCCATTTTCCACGTACAGCAAAAAAGTCACTTACGAATGTCAATTAATCAATTTAATAATTAATCGTTTCGGTGTGAAATGCATTTTAGAATACAGAATAGATTTTATAATACAGAATTAGGGTAAGGTGTAAATAAAATTAGCCGAATGGATATGAAAGGATACCGATGAATAATTTTCTAACACCTTGAGCAGAACACTAACCTTGGCGTAAAAATAATGCATTTGACTCGAAGAGAATGGTTTCCACTGGTATCTGGCTCTGGTAATAACTAATCATTGAGACCATAACGCATGAAAGTGAAGAATGAGTATAATAAATCGAAATCTAAGACTTGATTTCTAAACTAACTTGATATACTGTTTTATTTATCAAGTTTTCACTGACATAATCTAACACNCGTAATCAAAATTTCTTGAAGAATTCATGATTGCATTTTTCGAGAACTACGTTACGGTTCATACAGTGCTGAGTAATTTTAGATTGCAATTTAATTAGAGTCCCAGAGTTTTGCGTCTGAAACCGGGATATTGTTCGTTCTCAGGTAGCGGTTGTTTCGTACTTAAACTCGGTCGCGGTCATTATCGGTTGCCCAACGGCTTTTATCGAAACTGGAGCGTTTTGGCCGGTAGTGAGTAAAAGTCCTGAGAAACCCCTTTGTGAAATCGCCGATTATAAAATATGTTCCCCCCTAATGGTGCCGAAGAATTTCGTCGCGTTCGTTTCTTTTGTTGCTTTTTCCTACGACCTAGCTCGGAAGAAAATCGGACTGGCTCTTATGACACCCGTGAAACACGTGCTTCGATGTTAAATTATGAGACCATTATCGGTCGGCCGCGAGAAATAACGACCGCCACGATTGGAAGAAATTCTTAAGCCTTTTTGCTAGACTGCTGTTATTTACTAGGGAGATAGTATAATAAAATGTAAACCATCCGGTGGAGAATTATTACCTGAGAATTTTCTATAGGATTTACCATTTGACGTAATGACGGAAACGTTCAGTAGAATATTAATAAAAATAGCTTTGATTAATCATGTACTTGTGGGGCGTGTCCCGCGAGGACTTAGCCCGAGTAATTTAGAGCACCCACGCTTGTAAGATCTATAGTAAATAAATCACGATTAGTCCAGTCGGCACGTTTGACAACCCTGTCATCGTTCGACCCCTGCGGTGAACGAAATGGAAGGACGTACTTTCGAATCCGGCATACTTAGACCTATCAATTATTATCTACCATTCTCAGACAGACATTCGTGAAACATTGCCACACAATAAATATCAAAAACAGACACACGTTAGACTGCGAATTTTTACAGAAAATAATTTATTCCATTTATACAGATTTTCAGTTTCATCATTAAGGAATTTTGTATCATTCTGCAAAAATCTGCAGTCTATAAATCATTGAATAAATCCGCAATTAATAAAAGATTCATAATCGTAAATTGAAATTTGAATTAGATTGAATCTCGTGCATTCGAATTAATTGATATCCAATTACGCGGTTGATAAAAAAAATGTAAGACGGGGATTCATCCTGCATGTTGGATAGTAGATACGCGATCTTTCAATTAACCCGGCGGCGTGCTGTTGGAAAGAGGATCCGATCTGCTTGCCAGATGTCGGGAGAGGAGAGACACATAAAGGTTTCTCCTCCCGGGCACGGATCGAAAGGACAGGTTGCATAATATAAAACACACCGAGCGCAAAAAGTCACGGTTTCTCGCTACTTTCGCGTCTCCCACCCTTTCATCTTTCATCTCTTCCCTCTTCCTGGATCCCTCTTCCACCGCACGGCCTCGAGGGTTACATATTATTACCAGAGATTCAAACGAAAAATGCGAGAGATTTAATATTAGCAGGAGGGGAATGTTATTTACAATTATTTCAGAATGAAATTTATTAAAACAGTGGATACAGATTTATGTACAGATTTCATATTGATTTGGAAATTCTCATTGTAAAAATATTTATTGAAACAATAAATATAAATCAACGTATATACATAACAAAAATCTTGAGGCTTAATATTATGCAGAATACTTCGTTTCGATCAGCAGTTTTTTATTTATAATCTATCTATCTTTCACATTGACGATAACCTGTGGAATTGACGAGATTAAGTATCATTTCATAAAACGATATCGTACTTCACTCACTTTTCCTGGATTCTTATTTTTCAAAATGAATTCCAACGCGTCATTTACGTTCGTCAGCCCGACGGTCAACACGACCGTTGGATTAATGAGGCCCTCCTCCATAAATTCTAAAATATCATCCCCAGCTTGTCTGAGTAAACAAACGTTCAGATTAAAATCGAACCCCTTGAACACTTAATTATTATTGTTTTATTGATAGAGCCCGATGTCGATTCTACCGATAGGTCTCTGGCTTCTTCTTCCTGTACTCTCGCAAATTGAATCCACTGACAGTGACACCACTCTTCGTTTCCTCGGAATCGCTATCTTCATTAGTTGTTGTCGACCCAGCGATTATTACCCTTCCTTTACAGTAAACGATTTCATTCAATTGATTTGTCGAATTTAATCGTTCGACCGCTGATTTCATGTTGTTGTTTTATTTCGAATACAAAGAATGCAATGCCAAAAAATAAGCATTGGTTCATTTATCAC